AAGAGGAGGAGGTCGAGTCTGACGTCGAAAGCCGACCGATTAAGAGAAAGCGAGAGCATCGGAACCGCGAGGAGGAAGAGGCACTGGATGAAGAGGATTTAGAACTCATTGGCGAGCAATTTGGTGAACAGCCAAAGCCCCAGGCTCCGGTTAGCCACTCATTGCTCGCACTTCATGGAGATTTTTTTTTTCTAACACGTCATACTTAGTCCAAGTTCAAACGCCTTAAGCGCGGCCATCGAGACGAGGATGCTGGTGCTCACGAAAAGCGAGGGCTGGAAGAAATCTTCGCCGACGAAGACGAGGATGCTGGAGAACAGCGTTCCTACGGCCGACCCGGCTTCCGTTCCCAAGTAGACGAATTCGACGACTTCATAGAGGAAGACTTTCCCGAAGATGAAGATGAGCGCATACGCCAACAAGAAGATGCTGAGGTCGCCCGCCCCAGAGACCGCGGTGTTGGAGGTGTTGTCGATACCACAGGACTGGACAAAGATGCTCTGGATGATATGGAAGCTATTTTCGGCAATGGCGAAGATTACGACTGGGCGCTTCAGATGGAAGAAGAAGAGGAGGACAGAGAGCGAGAAGAGCAAGGCATCGAACTCAAGGATGTCTTTGAGCCTTCGCAGCTCAAGGAAAAACTGCTCACAGATGAAGATAACGAGATCCGATTCACCGACGAGCCCGAACGCTTCCAACTGGATCGTAAATCATTCAAGAATCTACAGCTGACCGCAGAGCAATTCAAGGAGGAGGCCCGATGGATCACCAACCAGCTTTGGCCGAAGAAGGGCTTGGCGCAAGAACTCCAGGCCCCTTTTGGCAAAGCTGTTAGCAAAGTACTCGAGTTTTTTATTGTTGATGAAGTGGAAGTTCCATTTGTGTTTCAACACCGAAAAGATTACCTCCTACACTCCAAGAAGATTCGAAAATCGACCAGGGATGACCCTGACGGTCCCGATTACACAATTCAATCGGATAAACTCTTGAACCAAGATGACCTATGGAGAATCCTAGAGCTTGACATCAAATTCCGCTCGTTCGTGGAGAAGAGAAACTCACTTGAGAAATCATTCGAAAACCTCAAATCTATGGATGTCCAAGACAGCATGGTCGAAGAAATGATCCCGGAAGCCACCACTATGGAAGAGATTCAGGATCTGCAGGACTATTTGCAATTTCAATACGCCAATAAGCTAAAGGATCTTGCGACTTTGGCTGGAAACATATCGCTGACGAAGCGTCCGGGTTCGAAATCCTCACTGTTGGACCGTGTTCGCAATGGAAAGGCGTATTATTTTGTCAAGGCCTACGGAATTACTGCAGATCAGCTAGCAAAGAACGCTCTTCGCCAGGGCAGAAAGGTTGCGCCGGATGATCACGAGCAGTATCCGATGGATCTTGCCGATACTCTTCTTGATGACAACTTCAACACCGGCGATCAAGTCATGAATGCTGCTCGCCAGATGTATGCCGAAGAGCTCTTTGCCAGCCCCCGGATGCGCAAGTATCTCAGAGCCTCTTTTTACCAGGCAGCAGAAATAAGCTGTCGCCGCACAGACAAGGGCTTGCGGAAGATTGATGACACGCATCCCTACTACGAAATCAAATATATACAGAATCAAGCGATTGCCGATCTGGTGCACCAGCCTGAAGTGTTCCTAAAAATGATGCGCGCGGAAGAGGAAGGCCTAGTGGAGATTAAGCTGGAGATGCCTTCACGATATGACTTCCGGAGACAGCTCTACCAGGAGTTTGAGTCAGAAAACTTTAGTGATCGGGCGGAGCAGTGGCGAGAAGAGCGCAAGAAGGTATTGGATCTCGCCTATCCTAAGCTGGAAAAGATCGTGGCCAAAAACATCAAAGAAGTTATTCGAACGTTTTGCCAAGACGAAGTTCTCAAGATGTGTCGACAAGAGTTCTATCGCAAGCTGGATCAAGCTCCTTACAAGCCTAAGGGAATGATCCTAGGTACCACTCCCCGGGTCCTAGTGCTGTCCAACGGAGGTGGTGATCCCACTCGCGATCCTGTCTGCTGGGCTTGGGTAGAGGAAGAAGGACGTGTGCTCGAACAAGGCAAATTTGGAAATCTGGGTAGAGACGAGACTCAGCGTGAAAACTTTGTCGAGCTTGTACGGCGACGGCGCCCCGATGTCATTGGTGTTGGCGGTTGGTCGTCCGATACGCAGAAACTCGTGCGTGACTTGGAGGGCCTCGTGAGCGAGAAGAACCTCATGGGAGCAGAGTTTGAAGATCCTGAGACAAATGATTACCGCACTGAGCTTCTTGAAGTCATCGTTGTTGAGGATGAAGTCGCACGCCTTTACAAGGATAGCCCCCGTGCGATGGCCGAACATCCTTCTCTGAACCCCATCACAAGATACTGTATCGCCTTGGCGCGATACATGCAAAACCCAATGAAAGAGTACGCTGCATTGAACAAAGATGTAGTTTCTCTCTCATTCCACCCATGCCAGAATCTCCTCCCTCCGGACAAGCTGATGAAATATCTGGAGTCCGCCATGGTTGATACGGTCAACATGGTCGGAGTCAATATCAATGAGGCCATGACCGACTCATACACAGCCAACCTCCTCCCTTATGTTGCAGGACTGGGACCCCGAAAAGCCACCAGCGTAATCAAGACTATCAATGCAAACGGAGGCGTGGTTAACACAAGAGACGAGCTGGTGGGTGATCCAGACAGCGGAAAGCTTCCTGTCGTCGGGCCACGCGTCTGGAACAATTGCGCTAGTTTTCTATACATTGAGTACGACGCAACCAATCCTTCATCAGATCCTCTAGACAACACTCGTGTTCACCCAGAAGATTACGAACTGGGTCGCAAGATGGCGGCAGATGCTCTTGAATTGGATGAAGAGGATGTCAAGGCCGAAACTGATGAGAATGGACCTGGCGCCATCGTGCGGAAGCTCTTCAAGCAAGATGAGCAGGAGAGAGTGAACGAATTGGTGCTTGACGAGTATGCCGACCAGCTACAGAGGAACTTTAGCCAACGCAAGCGAGCCACTCTAGAAGCTATCAGTGCGGAGTTGCAAGCTCCATATGAAGAACTGCGAAGAAGCTTCGCGCTGCTCGCACCTTCTGACATTTTCACCATGTTCACAGGCGAAACCAAGTCGACCCTCTGTGAAGGCATGATTGTTCCGGTTATTGTGCGCATGGTCAGAGACGACTTCGCCATCGTGAAGCTAGACTGCGGCATCGAAGGCAGGATAGAAGGCCACGAAGTATCGAACAGATCGTCTGTCAAGGATGTACTAAGCTCAGGGCAAACGGTACAAGCCAAGATTCTCGAGATGAATTACAAGGATTTCATGGCTAAGCTCTCCATGAGAGAAGAGTCTCTACGGATCCCTTATAAGCCTCCTATCAACTTTGGCCGTGACGGCTGGGACTATGCCCTCGAGGCTGCCGACAAAGAGGAGCTCCGTGAGAAAGACAAGACCACGGGCAGGACTCAACGAGTTGTCAAGCATCCCAACTTCAAGCCTTACAACTCAATTCAAGCGGAGGAGTACCTTGGATCGCAGCCTCCTGGCGAGGTCATCATTCGACCCTCTTCAAAGGGTAATGATCATTTGGCCATTACCTGGAAGGTTGCTGATGGCGTTTACCAACACATTGATGTCTTGGAAATGCAGAAGGATACAGAGTTCTCCGTTGGCAAACTGCTCCGGATAGGCGGCAAATACACTTACAGTGATCTGGACGAGTTGATTGTGGACCATGTTAAGGCCATGGCCAGAAAAGTCGAGGAGATGATGCGGCACGATAAGTACCAAAACAGATCGCGCAACGAGACTGGCAAGTTTTTCTTTCTTTCTTTTCTTATACCTCTTATTAGTTGGCTTTTCTTGCTTTCTCCTAAATGAGCAATATTCTAATATTGACGCAGAAAAATGGCTTATTACATATGTGGATGCCAACCCTAACCGATCAGCGTACGCTTTCTGCATCGACACTAAGCATCCCGGATACTTTTGGCTTTGCTTCAAGGCGAGCAAGACAGCCCGTGTAATCGGCCTGCCAGTGCGAACCATTCCCCAGGGTTTCGAGCTCAGAGGATACCAGTATCCCGATATGCGAGCCCTGTGTAACGGTTTCAAGCTGCGATTCCAGAATGAGTTTTCCAAGATGGGGGCGCGGTAAAAGGCAAAGTAATGATGACCTAGACGGGGAACCGGAACATGGAGGTGAAAAAGAACGGAATCTAGGGTTACATATTTAATGATTCGCGTGTGTTTACAATTTAGTATTATTGTGTAGAAAGTCAGGATTTAACATAGCTCGAGAGGGGCTGAGCTCGACAAGGGGTCATTGGGAGCGAAAATACTTTTATTTTCTCTTTTGTGTTTATTATTTGCTGACAAGATTGGGAAGCTGGCAGCTGGTGGCGTCGTGGACGCGAAGCATTATGCATGAAAAATAAAATAGAATAATTGGACATTTGTTTTTTCAAAACTGGCTGAGCTGTGGATATATTAACTCTCTTATGATCTGTTTTCTTCTGCTTAAAAAGCAGTAAAGCTGATAGAAGACTGCTTGTTGACTACTCGAGAAACGCTTACAGTCTTGAACACCTGGTATTAAGCAACTAGGTATTTGGAAGTGAGACAATAACACCATTTGCCCCGCTGCTGAACAGCAGTGGGCTTCTCTAACAAAAAGTAAGAAGGTGTATAATGAATTGCCCACAGAGAAGAAAATGCAATAGTCACCAACCAAAAAAAGAAAGTTGAGCGACACCTGCAGGATTCGAACCTGCGCGTGCGAACACAATGCCTATGATACCAATTGATAGCAGGGCATCGCCTTAACCACTCGGCCAAAGTGTCTTATCATCTCTTATCGATCCAGGCTAGTGACCGTGACTATAAGCTAACGTCCGTTTCACTACCCACTTAAGATGTTAGAGCGTCGCTTATCGCATCTAAGTAGTTCATAATACCAAATAATGAAGCAACCAATCAGAAGACACTTTGGCCGAGTGGTTAAGGCGATGCCCTGCTATCAATTGGTATCATAGGCATTGTGTTCGCACGCGCAGGTTCGAATCCTGCAGGTGTCGCTCAATTTCTTTTTGCCTCTGAGCTAACTTTTTTTTTCTTTTCTTTTTTACTGTTCTATGCAATCGTTTCTGGTCTACTTGGTATCCATGCCTATGTTGCTACTGCTACCGATATCTTTTATAGTTAAGCGTCTTGTTGACGAAATACTACTACTCATGCACATATCACGAATCTTGTATAAATCGACATGCTCTTGGATTGTGGATTTACAGCTCTTATTTGGCAAAGACATGAGTGAGTACTTGTAGTTATAAAGTGAAATCCTCCTAGTACGTTGTTTGGATCAAGAGTAACAACTCTACGAGTCAAGTTAACCCTACCACATGCTCTTAAAATCCACATAATTGCATAGAGTGTACTGTTGTTCTGCGTTAATTATCTTCGGTCATCCAAGCTTCGTCAGACTCATTCCTGGCTCAATATCCCTCAGTAGTCTAGCTGAATTCAGCTTAACATGGCTTGTGGAGAACACAGGGGAAGTGCAGCGAATCGTTATAGAGAATACGAAACGGAACTGTGGTGTTTATCGCTCATGCATTCATAAAATATAGTTATAGTAGTTGAGATAATGTGTGTGGCAAGTGGGAAAGCCACCTATAGGAATGTTACATACGAAATACTGGGATGAAAAATCCCTGTTATAATTCTCAAATCTGTAGGTACCAGGGCAATAATCAATTCTAGTTGATCACACGACTGATTTCGATTTCGTCCTTTGCAAAAGTTAGCGGCCAACCTAGCCCAGCAGTAAACATCTTACTTACATCGAGTTCTCCAGGCTGAATCAAAGCTTTTACTCCAGTGCTCTGCAGTCGGGGATGGCTCCTGACAAAAGCACGATACTCGGGCGCACCTGGCCTTATAACATTATCGGCTGCGATAACAGCGCCCTTTTTGAGAAGCCCAAGTTCTTCACAGGCCTTGAAATCAGGGGCGTATAGAGACTCGACGTGGTCAATAAACAAAAAGTCAATGCTCGACAAGGTGCCTTCTTTATGTAGCTTCCGAATCGATTCCTCTGCAGGACCGGTAACGACCGTCACGATATCCGAAAGCCCTGCAATCTCAATCAGCTGCCTGGAAATGGAGGAAAACTCGGCCTTCATCTCGAGACTGAAAACGCGGGGCTGTGCGTCCGGCTTGCTATATTGGCGCATGGTGTCTGCGAAATGAATAGCGGAGTATCCAACATAGCCGCCCAGCTCGACGAGCGTCTGCGGCTTCTCCTCGTTGAGTAGGTCGGATAGGATTTTGGCCTTGTTCTCGCCAATATTGATGAGGAAATCGTGTTTGCCAGAGAAATCATCGATGGCCGCGAGAATCTTGGAGGGAGAGCCTCTAATGGTTTCTAAGTCGGGATGGGAAAGAATAAAAGAGAGCAGCTTCTCTTCGCGGCCGTCATCGACCTAATGAGGAGAATCTTTAGCAGTGAATCCATGATTTGCGTTTATTCAAGAAGTAAATTTGAGATGGCTACCTCGATGCCCGTCTCGACTACCTTCTTCAACGAAGGGTATTTTGCAATCATTGCAGCAACCTTTTCCGGAGATGGATCCATTGCGAAAGACTGTGTTTGGAAGAATTCGTAATCAAGGGGCGCGACCGATGCTGTGAGGAGAGTAAGCATATGGACGTGTGTAAGTGAGAGGATAAGCTAATGTCTTGTGGCTGCCCCTCTTCTCTCTGAATCCAACTTGGTCCAGGCTGAGATGCGATATCGGTATAACTTACTGGAATATATAAATTTGAGAAGCTGTGTCTGTAATATGAGGATTGTGGTGTTAGTGGTGCAAAGGGTTTAAGAAACTCCCCTTTAAATACTCGGTATGGAAGGATCACTTCACGTGCAGCTAATTTTGCGGGGCGAGAGTGTTCGTTGGAAGGAATACTCTTGTAACTTGCACTGCTGCCTAGGTGAAGGTTATTTGCAGCGAGCCGACGTAATACAGCGAAAAGAGCGAATAGAGCGAAGAGGTCAACATCATGTATCCTCATACGCAATTACAGAGGTGATATCAAGGATTCAACTGTGTATGGTAGGCAAGCTCTTACAAGCCCTGTTAGGTCGTTTTCATGATCATAGACCTACACCCCTAACTACTTTCTAATGCATCCCTTTACCCTGCGCAGTTGTTTAGTTAAGTAGTAAGTGATGATAATATATTTTCTTTTTCTAGTTGCTATTAGCGCTATTTGTGAATTTGCTGGCAGAGTTATATATATGTGCGCGGAGCGGCAAACTCCTCCCCTAAACTCAGTACGTATATGTATCTCAGGTATATCATTCCGACAAGGTTGCTGGCTGAGTGCATGCACGGTTGGCATGCTCTTGATAATTTCGACTGTGGCGAACACCTGGGAGTAAGTAAAGTCGTTTCTGTCCCTATCGCAACTGCCAGCCTCTCAAGACCAAGGTAATCATTTTTGAGAAGATGACACTCGCGATGCACCTTCTGAATATCGAAATCCGTGGAGGGTCTTTGACATGTCTCGATGTGCCGTCATCTCTTCTCTGTTCTCAACAAAACCGACAACGCCGCCGACAAGGCCGACAAACCCGCAAAGCCGACAACACCGACAAAACTGACAATAACAACCACCACTACTAGATGCCCGTCTGCGGCGCTTTATATCCAAAGGCGATAAACAAAGAGCTCTCCGCTCTTGTTTCCCCCATCTCATTAACTGCCCCAGCACAAAACTGTTCAGTTTAGCTTAGTATATTACTTTGAACTTTGGGACGTTGGCCAAGTATTCCGCTCCAATCTCAATAGCTTCTGCAGCTGTGCTCTGTCACTATAATATTCTACAAATTATATTAAAGAATGTTTTGGTGAGTGTCTTTCAAATCCAATCACTAAGCTACCGTCCGAATGAGGGAACTGTTCTACAATGGTCGAAACGTATATGCTGACAGTGGCGGGCATTAAGTCATTGTAGTCGTATAAGACATTAAACGTTGGCTAGTCAAGGAGCAACCATAGAGGTATGACTCTATAAGATGGCTATGGACGCAAGCTCTATTGCAGTGACTTCACACGAATTGGAATTCAGAGGTTTCTCCAAGCAATGCATTCTCGACGATCGCAAGGGGGAGTGTGCTGGATACGCCTTGCTTCTAGTGATTATCCTGTCGCATCGTCAGTACCAGATGTAACCAAAGCGATCTCGAGAAGAGGCTGGATAGGCTCCCCACGTCAGCACCCAGGGCCCTGCAGAGTATACATACTGGTATTTGATGCGCAGGGCAAATCAAGGCTCGATGTGGTCCACTACTTACGTACGAAATGCTAATGACGATGACAGCTTCCCCCCCATGGCCATGTCTCACGTCCATCACTGGAGCCTGGGCTAAGACACTTGCTGGACCCCTATTTTGCAGGTCCAAGTCATGTGCCGGGTCTGAGTCGTTGTGACGCGCAGTTTAGAGGCCGTTTCTCCTGCGATGCCTCGTAGCGTGACGAGTATTACCTCGTAGTACAGCAATTATATATTCGATTCACCCCGGATTACCTCATTCCCAGCGACATCGGCAAATACTGACCTGTCAGCTACTGCCTTGTTGCTTGAGTAGCCAACAAACGTGGCCTATTCCATCTCCATATTCCTGTTCCACATCCCAGATGATCTAGCGATTGTGAGAAGCCGGCGCAGTCTTCGCAATTCGACGGCGGGCTATGCAGGCTAGCTCAACCCAACTAGTTTGGCCACCACTTGTCTCGACTGTCCGGACACGGAAGCGCTCGGCTGAGACTTTCGCCACGGGCGCTCCACCGCCGGCGCTCCGTGCAAACAAAACGAGCTCAGCAGGGCTCAGGAAAAAGAGCCGCCGAGAGCCTCGTTTCCACGCGGGAGGCCCAGACCCCCGAATGGCCGACGACAGGCGCCAAGCAATATGGAAGAGTCACTCGTCGCCGGCCTGGCAAGCTGCTGTGCTCCGTAGCAGCGCTGTACTCCGTAATACGGCGCTCCAGCCGCTCCCCATAATTCCTTGGTGTTTTGCACTAGCACGGAGCATTTGTGTTGTGGCCTCTGCATGTACACCGTACCCCGCCGCGCGGTGGGTGCCTCGCCGGCTGCGGCGTACCCAGGTACCGAGCACAAGCATGTCAAGCATGTCCACTCCAGAGCGTCACTAAAGTCTGGGGTAAACGGGGCTAGGCAGAGGGTCCAGCGGCCGCAAGCAGGGCAATTGAGCATTTGGGAACAAAGTCAATTGGGCAGCATTGCGTGGATTGCAGGAGGCATAAAACAACGTCGAGGCAAAAACAAGACTCAACACAGAGACTCAACACAGAGACACAGCGGGCGGGAAGCAAGTACAGAGAACGGAAAGGAGGAGCTGCGACGCACTGTGCAGAACCGGCACCCGCTCAAACTGATGACTCTGCCCTTTGATGGGGCCAGTTGTAGCGGCTGTTGCGTCAGGTCACGCGATATATGATGCTGATTGAGCCACCACTGGATGTTCTGGGCAAGAACGCACGCGGCAACGTCGACGCACGGAGTACAAGCACCGAACAGCCTGTAATCTGCTGTCGAGGCAGAACAGCGTGGAACTGCTCCATGGCACGGATCCAATTCATCCCAAGCTGCATGCATGCACCCCCCTTGCCCCTCCGACGAAGCAAGTAACATGCTCGCATTCACTGCCCCCAACCGTGCCGGCCCCGATTGACTGCTGCTACGGATGGCAATTGATCCAGTCACTGACGGCTTCTTCACCGTTGCATTCTGCCTGCGCCATTGGCCCGCTGCTCCTGGCTGCCCGTCCATTGGCGCCACCCCCCGACGTCTCGCGTGACACCCTGTGATGTGCTATAATAATGCTACAAAAGCCCAAGCTGCCCAGCTCTCGGCTTCCTCTCCATCCTGTTCACCTTCACTCAATTCATCTTTCATCTCTCGTCTCTCATCTCTCATCTCTCATCTCTCTTCCACTTCTACTTCCACTTCTCACTCACACCAAACTCACAACCACCGAAATCAACCAACCCAA